TTTGCTATACAAATATCCATTTTTTATGTTGAAAACGGGAGCAGATTCGTTCCCGAAACGTCCAAAGGTAAGTGGAAATTTTATATTTGTTCTATATACCTTTACTTCTCTTCTCCACACCTTTCTCAATACAGATTGTCACTGACAAGCTAGTGAATTTTTCTTTTAGGCTCTCTGATTGGGAATTTTTTTGAACGCAGTGGAATTCTGGGGCAAATCATCTGATTTGTCCTTACTCTTACTACACGTATATTGAACTAATATTCAGATTTTTATTTTATTGAAACGAGGAGAGAAAATCCCAAGAAATCTGGAATATTAAATGTATCACCTCATCGATTAACCTACAGACAGTACTTGAAATATGATTGTTGGCCGAGAATCCTAAAATTTGGTATCCTAGACAAATTTTCCTGGTAGCTTTTCATCGTATTGGCCATCACATGGAAGACACTTTATAACCCACAGAAAAATGAGTATTTTGATGTTCTGAAATTATATTAAGAGTTAGTCTATGATGAAGCTGTCTATATTCAAGCCAAATATAACCGAATTCTAGAAAGAATACATCAATGCGTACTCCCAGAATGTTGAAAGCACTCTCTATATCAGAGTTGAAGTATGCTATCCTGACTATGTATGCATCCTTATATTTTCAATCGAAGTTTATAAACAAAAAGTGCCGTCGTTAAATTGGGTACCTATCGAAAACGATTTTCGTTTTATGTATAAAAACGAACTCTGATGTTCTCAAAGCAAAATAAACAAAAATATAATGATAACCCCATCATAAACCAAAACGGAAATAGCCTGTATATAATAACGTGTAATAGGCTAATAAATTCCAGGATTTTTATCGTAAATTAAAATTGTGACTCCTACTCTAATCCTCGCCAATTTTCCACCCTTGTACGTTATTAAATCCTAAATACACACTTTACTTTCACGAGCTCTATTTAATTCCATAAAACAAGCTGCTTTGAAATTAAACAATTCGTTCAGTTCTTCTTGTTTCTTTTTATGATTAGTGAATGTCTCTTCTTTCTGTGATTTTTCATTTCATGGGGTTGCCATTCCGTGACGTGTTACATAAAAAAATTAATTATTGTTAGATTATGAATCGAGCAATCGTAGATAGACGCTTTTTCCACACTCAAATAACACATTTGAGAGGGTTAGAAAACACAAAATCATCTCCTCATCGTTCAATAATCGAAAGATTATTCAGGGAAACATGTTTCGGACAGTTATGTGTCCATCATCAGCCTTAATCCTTACAAACCAAAGGTCCTATAATATGATACAAGTTAATGATGAAAAATATATGAAATAGAGAATTCACTCACGTGAGAATGAAAGAAGCATTATGACTCCTCACGTGCACCTTTTTCACTTGAAAATATCCAGAAAGGTATTTCCTTAACAAAAATGTGAAAAACTACACTGAGAAATAAGTTATGTCCATTCCAAACCATAAGAAGGGTATTGGTAAGCGCCCTCTAATGATCACAGAGAGTAGGTGTCCGTATTCGGATTTCGCATCCCAAAAAGCCATTGAATTACAATTTTTGAAGTGAAACGTTCATACATTTCATGATCAATTCAAGTGGAAAATGTTTGCTTAATAATATTGATCTCTTTATCGAAGGCTGCTTGAGAAAGACGTAATGAAAATATTCTGTTTAATAAACAATTGAAGGATGCCATTCTTTGTGATATATATTGGATCTTTCTTTTATTTTATTCAGACCAGGGAAGAGTCCCTCTTATCCTGATATCTATTATGGAACAAAATAAAAACGGTATTGAAGTTTGATGCGAACAGCCCTTCTGTCCCAAATAAGTTTCAGAAATACATTCTGAGAATTGAAAGAGATCGAACGGAATAAATAAATATCATAAACTTGAGAATAGTAAATTTGGTCATAATGTCGATATTTTCCCTAGTTCATGGACAATCTCGGTCTTTTGAACTTTGATTGATCACCTGGGTCATAATCAACTGCATTTCGAAGAAGCTGATTCTCATGAACCTCAGCTTTTTCGAAAGTCTTGATGTTTCGTTCTTTAATGACTGACACGATTGATGGGAGTTTCAGATCCCTGGCGATCTGGTTATTCCGAACATACCAAGGAGATCCTGTCACCATTCTCGCGATTTTGTTTTGTAATGTTTGTAATCTGGTGATATGAGATTTAGCTGTGTGGCCCCAGACTACTGAGGCATACAGTAAAATTGGCCTGATAGCCATGATATAAATATTCAATTTTTGTCTCAAACCCAATTTACTTCGTCTGTTTAGAAATGGATACAGGGCTCCAATGGCTCGTTTAGCTTTAGAAACTTGCTGTTCAATGTGCTGGGCCCAGGTGAGCTTTTTGTCAATGCACACACCTAAGTATTTAACTTGTGAAGACCACTCTAACTCATGACCATCCAGGACTATTCTGGTTCTGGGAGGCCTCCGCTCCCTTCCGAGTGCGACCAATTGTGTTTTTGTAGGATTTAATTTGATCTTCCATCTTAGGAAGTACTCCTGAAGAGAACTCAGTGCGCTTTGGAGGTTCATAGCTGCTTGCTCGAAATTTGTCGAATATGCAAGAACTGCCGTATCATCAGCAAAAAGCGACATCTTGCACATCACTGGTCTTGGCAAATCGCTAGTATATAAACTGTACAACAGCGGAGATAAAACTGCACCCTGAGGAACACCAGCTTCAATGGGCTTGATACCAGATCGTTGATCATCAAGTTTTACTTGAAAAGTTCGATTTTTCAGAAATGAACACATCAACTGAATCAAATCGTCAGGAAAGCCCATATCGATCATTTTGTATAAGATACCATCATGCCACACCTTGTCAAATGCTTTCGCTATGTCAAGGAGAGCAAGATGGGTCTTTTGTCTATCATTTCTCAACGATATTGTGTTCTCAATGAGTCTCAAGACTTGTAGTTCAGTTGAGTGGCCAGTTCTGAAACCGAACTGCTCATCTGGTATAAGCCCGTTGTAATCTCTGTTTAATCACTCGCTCAGTTATTTTAGATGGAGAGCACAGGAGACTGATAGGACGATAGCTCTGCGGAAGAGCATTATCCTGGCCTTGCTTCTTAAGCATCACTACTTCGGCATGCTTCCATCTTTGAGGGAAATATAATAGTTTCAATATGGCGTTGATGATTTTACATAAGTAAGTGATGAAATTACCAGGAATCCTTTTCAATATTCTGTTTGTGATTCCATCATTACCTGGAGCTTTCCTGAGTTTTTGTGCTTTGATGTAGCCGATTATTTCATCCGTAGAGGCAGGCCTTATTCTTAAATCGTGAACATCATTATTCAAATGGGCCAGGACTACTCGCTCCACAGAACCATCCCATTCCTGATCATACTCCTGCGACTCATTCAACTTGAATTGTGATACAAGTGACTCAGCAAAGACTTCAGCTTTTTCGGCAGTGCTGTACTTGACTCCGTTCTCCCCTCTTAGAGGAGGTATGACGGTTTTCTTATTCTTAACTCTTTTGATCAACTTCCAAAGATTATCAGGACCTTCATCCAAATTTTCCAGTGTGGTCTGCCATCTTGAGTTTCTGAAATTATCAATCTCAGTTCTCACGATATTACGAGCTTCGTTATATTCCAATTTATGAGGACGATAGAGAGTTCTCATGGCTCTTCGTTTTAATCTGTTTCTTTCTCTTATGAGATTTTTCAAGTAAATTGGGAATTCATTAGCTTGAAAACTGGTAATATTTGTTATATGGGTGTTATTATTCAAAGCTGTGAGAACTTTCTGTTCGAAGTCAATCACAGCACTGTCAATTTTTCGAGGAGTGTCGAGTTCCTCAGGGGGGACTTCAACATCTTCCAAATCTCGCATGAAGTCTATCCAGAAGACCTTCCTGCGTTGAAAGATTTCATCTCTTGGAACGTGATCTCCCAGCACCAGAAAAACCGGATTATGATCAGAAGTCATGGTACTAAGAGTGAATATCTCACTATACCAAGGAATATTCATCACAAGAAAAATATCCAAGACATCTGCTGAATTGTTCCCGAATTGGTAGTGAGTAGGCTCATCAGGACCGAGAACCATGTATTCATTTCTATCAGAGTGCAGTCTCAGTAGTCTACCACTTGCGTTGGTGACACGACTCCAGTCAGTATGTTTGGCATTCAAATCGCCACCAACTACCATAATCCTTCCGTCATCAGACGTCAAAGCATCCAGATTCTCAGCAGATAAAACTCCGTTTGGAGGTTTATATACTGAAATACATCTAACTATGCCCCTAGAAGAGTGTAATTCTAGACCCACAGCCTCTAATGGAATGGTTACCCCTACATCGATCTGAGTGAATTTCAATGATCTTTTTATGTATATGGCAACTCCACCTTTGGGACGCCCTGTCCTATCTTTCCTGATTGAATTATAACTTTGTAGGTTCAGAATTTCACCCTTCAAGTGAGTTTCCTGCACTAGAGCAATATCGACATTATTTTGAAACAGAAAATTTTCGAAATCTAGTTTTTTGCTTGAGAGTCCATTAGCATTCCAGGTTACAATCTTCAATGCCTCTGGAATCATAATATTTATTTTCCTATAGCAGTATTGGCGTTGATACCGAGCGTCTCGGCAATACCTGTAAATTTACGGAATATCTCCTTTATCTGCTCCAAGGCAGTGAAGATGTCCCCTGGTTCGCTAGTGGATTTCAAAGCATTAGCGTAACTCCGACTTCCCGACTGATGTGAATTCTGAGAACTTGACTTGACCGGCCTTGAAGTCACATTACTTTTCCTTACAGGAAATGCCTCGCACCCCCTGAAGCTAGCAGGATGCGCGCCGCCACAGTTAGCACACTTGGCTTTAGTCGAGCTATCCTTCTGACAATTAGCTGTCAAATGATTACCGCTACATTTAACGCATCTCGGATCAGCAGAACATCTCGACTGTGCGTGTCCGAATTTTTGGCAGCGATGACACTGCCCTACCTGTGCCTTGGGTCTTTGGGGTTCTACCTTGATGGTCAAGCCAACCAACCTTGTTATATCATAAATTTCACGATTTTTCTCAGTTTTTGGCAACAGAACCAGGACTATAGGCATTGCAGTGCCATCGCGGCGCTTCATACGATGTACTGATGTGACTTCAAAGCCCCTCTCAGTCAACTCCTCTGATATATCATCCGGCTCGATGTGTTCCGAGACGTTCCTGAGTACAACTCTCAGTGATTTCTCGTCTGGCAACTGATAGGTATGAAACGGATACTTTTTATTATCTAAAAGTCGAGTGAGTGCCCTGAATGAATCAGGGCTGTCGCAGAAAACCTTGATACCTTCCGTTGTATTGACTGCTTTAAAATAGTTGATTTGCAGGGTTGGTAGCTCTTTGGAAAGACTTGTCCATTTAGTTTTATCTCTCAAAATGATAGGAGGGACTCTTACCTGGTGATTATCTACATTTTGATTAACAGATACATTATTTTTGTCTATTTTAGTAGGAATTGAATCTCGTAGACTACTACTTGAGGGCTTGTGTTGCGAATTCATTGGGACCTTTGATCCCTGTCGCTTCAACTGGACAGAATTCTGCTGAAATTGGCTCATTTGGGGCATTTGGGGCGATCTTGATCTTGATCTCAATTCTGAATTGAAGTAGGGACAGGAAATATCATCTCTGACATTTCTATCAGACAGTGATTTTCTTGCTCTGACGGACTTTTGTGAAGAGGATGACTTCACAGAAGAACATTCCGACATCTCATCGTCTTGTAACTTACTCAGTTGGTCGAATCGGTTACTCAGAGGAATCATTGGAAATTCCTTCTCGTAATTAGTCTCATGTAAGTCATTTGTGTCCTGAAATGGCCTCTTACCATATTTCGGAAGATGATCGGACTGTGGCTGATCGCTTACAGGACGGATAGACAGCTGGTTATGGGGGTTCAGTTTATTGAGTCTCTCCAATATTTGATGTAGTAGTGTGACTAGAGAGTCACCATCAAGGTCTTCTGGCAGATTCAACATGTTTCCCGGCGAAGAGTAACCGGAAAACTCGCTTCTAATTAAATTCGTATTAGTCTGACAGGAGCGTGATAAAAATGCGACCGTTCTCTTGACAGACAGAACGCGAATGTTTCTTTGTGAAAAAAGGTGATTGGAATTAAAAGGTATGACTGAATCTGTGGCTGTTGGTTTCCTGTGAATTTCATATTCCAACCTCTGCGTATGTGAATGGGCTTAAACCACAAAAAAAAATTATTTCATAATTCGATCGAACTCACCCAAACTAGCTCACTACCGCAAACCGTTTCTTCCTGTGAGCTCCCTACGTTTTATAAAAAATTATTGAAATCCCCGATTTCTCGGACCTCTGAAAACGAGGCGATGATGTGACGTCAAAACCCTGATACTGAAACAAGATTATGTAGTTATTATTTCAAAAAAAGGAATGTACTTTCTCAGCTGTCCTAGATTTAAGATACTTGTGAATTCCAATACTTCTTCCTTACTATTGTGTCTGAAGATGGCCATGGTGCTGAAACTAGTCACACACATGAGTGTTAAACCTGATAAAAACTCTCTGTATATATATATATATACGAAAATGAACAAATTTTAACCTTTTGGAAATATCTCGTGCAGGAAAGTGGGAATTATATACCTTGATTTACGACCACAGAGATGAGCTTGCAATAACCCCATATTTGATGATGATGGCTCATCACAAACACATAACACGATGACGTAATGAATGATATAAATTCAACACGTCCAGTTTCCGCAATAATAAAAATGGATTCGGTATCTTTTATTGCCACTCTATGGTTATTCCGAGGATCGGGATGTCATTATATCAGGACAACTGATACTGATAGGTCTCCCCTGTGACTTTTGAGTGGTTCAAGTCAGAATTTCGTATTTTCTCAAATTCAAATATCTCGTTGAATTTTTCTTAAATTAAAATACTTCGTTGAATTTCAGATTCTTGGAATTTTCTGTTCTCATTTCTATAAATAAAATGTGAGCATTATTTCAATATCATCCAGTGAGGAAAAAATCAGATAATTTGCACCAACTATAAGAAACCTTAAAGAGAAATATAATTGATAGTCTCAGTGATACCTTGTCCGAAAAATATTTGAAACACAAGAATATAGGCACATGAAAAAAAATATTGAATTTAATTTTTTTACGTTCCGGGATCGAATTTGCGTCCACTTCCAACAAATAAAAAAACACATTCTTGAGATTAGATCTTCACTTTGACACTTCTCAGCATCAGAAGTTGTCAGAAAAAATGTGTTAGGGTGTCTAGTTGATTTTTCATGGGAGTGAATACCATGTTCTTTAACAACCGAATAGGAAACAATTTCTCCGTTCTGAAGAATGCAAGCGGATTCTTTGATTCTCTCTTTAGGTATCTCCTCTTCTTATATGTCTTCAACCAGAGGTTTAAATGATTATTTCGAAATTCTACACGTAGAAAATTAAGGAATAAAACTCAATCATTTTGAATCATTAGAAATTTCAACAAACTAAAAAATTCTAACATTTTACTTAACGATCAACTAGATCTCAATAGTTCACCACTGTTGAATTTGTTTCCCTAGTAGGTAATAATATATGTATTTGCTATCAGCCCTTTCAAGTTAATCCGGTAAACCGTATTTTACATTTGCTATGAATCTCCATCAAGTAACGGCCAAGTCAATTAAAAAAAAAATTCTAATATCGTTACGAGACTATATTTTTCGGAATAGACGCGGTCCTCCCGGAAGAATCCACGTTACGTAGAAGCTGTTCGAAGTTTTGGCGAAAGATCTCGAAACGTTATAAAAACTCCAGAATGTCTTGGGTCAGATATAAATATCGGCAGGTAGGCCGACCGGAGTAGTAATGAAAAGAGAGCTACAATTAATTTTTGAATCAGTTGATGGTGTTATATTAGGAAGAGACGTGTTTATTGTGATTTTTTTTGTGTATTTTAGACTATCTATCAGTGTTTGTATCCGAATAAATCGTACATCAACAAATTCAAAATGTGACTTATTTACATCTGAAATTTTTCCACAATTCCATCATAAACAACCCGTTAAACAGTTACAGGAGTGTCCTAGTTTCCGTGGTCGCACTCGGTATTATATAGGAAGATTCCAGATATCCAGATAAGTTATAAGGGATAAGTTCTGGTGAAATTACTTTTTATCTCAATAAATTATATTATGTATACTCTGCTAATTTTGTCGGTAGTAGAGAAGAGTCCATACTTTCAGCCTCAATTCGTAATTAATAATTAATTTCATAAAATGGCGAGCACGCGTTATATTCCACCAAAATAATAGCTTGATCAATATCAATATAACGCAGATTCGCCTTTCAATGCTATATCAGTTTTATAAACTTTTAATTGAGTTTTATAGTGCTAATGTTTCTGAATTTTCTCTGAAAGCTTTCAGCCTACATGCAAAACAGGGTGATAAACACAACAATGATCGTTTTATTCACGCTTGTTTTGTGTCCCTGAATTTTTTATTTTTATTATGTATAATGATGGTATTGCCTTGTTTTCGTTTCTCGAAACGAGTCTATACAGGGTGTTTCACAGGTAAAGGGAAATATTTCAATGGTAGATAGGGGTCACCAAGGTGGTTCTGAAAATACCATATTTGATAGGTCTTGGAGTCTTCATAACGGAGATACAGGGCGATTTATCGATTTCGAATAATTATTCATTCGTCTATAAGTATTGAACTATCCAGTATATTTTTCTAATATTTGGTATGGAGCTTATACTTGGGACGTTGAATTCATTCACCTATCGGGCGAAGTGAAAATCAAATTCATTTATTCGAAATATTAAAATAACACACTGCATGTAATAATTGACAGAGTTCATCAAAGGAATCGTGAAGAGGAGAAAAAACCGAACTGGATTTGATGCTTTTCGTTTGTTCGCCACCAATTCTTATCGTAACAATCATAAACAGAAAGCTGAAAGTATGTCAATTTGAACAGTATCAAAATTATGATACCACTTCCAATTATGATTATTTGATATTTCTTGTTAATTGATCGTTCGAAAGAACTTACTAAGTCTCACAGTCCATATAACAGAGACACAGGGTGAATTATCGGTTTCGAATAATTATTCACTCACTACCCATCGCAGTAATATTTTCTCAGATTTGGTATTGAGCTCACTTGGGACGATGGATTCATTGACCTATCAGGCAGAATGGAAATACGGGTTCAGCTTCAGGAAAAGTCTCATAGTCTTTATAACAGAGATACAGGGTGAATTATCGAATTATAATTATTTGGTATTATTTCCATTCCGCCTGATAGGTTAATATGAATCCATCGTCCCAAGTACGAGTGAATAATTATTCAAAACCGATAATTCATCCTGTATCTCCATTATAAAGACTGTGAGACTTAGTAAGTTTTTTCGAGAGATTTTTTGACTAAAATATATCGAATAATCATAATTGAAACTGGTTTAATAATTTCAATACTCTTCAAATTGACATACTTTCAACTTTCTGTTTATGATTGTTACGATGAGAATTGGTGGCGGGAAAACAAAAAGCACCAAACCCAATTCAGTTTTTCCTGCTCTTCACAATTCTTTCGATGTACTGTGTTAATTATTAAATACAGTGTGTTATTTTAATATTTCGAATGAATGAACATTTTTCCTGAAGCCGAACCTGTATTTTCACTCTGCCCGATAGGTGAATGAATTTAACGTCCCAAATATAAGCTCCTTACCAAATTTGAGAAAAATATACCGGGTAGGTCAATACATATAGACGAATGAATAATTATTCGAAATCGATAAATCGCCCTGTATCTCCGTTATGAAGACTCTGAGACCTATCAAATATGGTATTTTCAGAACCACCTTGGTGATCCCTATCTATCCATTGAAATATTTCCCTTTACCTGTGGAACACCCTGTATTTCATGCTCCATTCTATGAGTGTGAATGCTTTTTCAATAGTTACAAACATAATCTAGGGGGTGAAAGGTAACGAGAAAGCAAAGCCGGTCTCATCTACCAGGATTTCCTCATTTGAAGGCGTATATAATATCGAAGAACATAATCTAGCAGATCTTGAAATGAAGTAGGAACAACATGGAAATTCAGACAAGACTGCTTTTAAAGCACAATGTCGTCTAAGATAACACCTATATGGAGGAAGAATAGCTCTGAACTTTCGGTTCAATTGTATGGAAACCGAACAGTTGAACAGATATCCATTTACCAGTTTAGAACAGATCAAAATTCCACCTCATTCAACCATGCCAACAGCGCCCCCTTCCCTCTACACAGAAAAAAATTCTTGTTTGAAACTACAAAATTTTTGTGAATTCAACAAAATCTGAGTGTCATATATCCACGACAAAATATTTTGTCACCGCAACAAATGTTTTTTGTCAGTTTTCAATTCAAAATCAATTTGATGTAACTCATTAATGATTCAAATTAACAGCAGGAATTGGTCGAATAAACAAAGACTATTTTGTTCCTATAATACAATATCTGCTCTTATGAACGATTCAGTTGATTGAAATGATTATATCATTTCATTCAAGTGACAAAATTTTCAGTTTTTCAGAGGGTGAATATGATAAAATGATATATATTCTTCGATCAAGCAAATTGTATTTTGAATTGATAAAATATTTTGCTGAATAATTAAAAAAAAATCCAATAACTGAATTTAAAAACTAAGAGAAATTAGAGATCAATTTCCTCACGTTGATTCAAGACTATTAGCTTGTATAAGCGTCATAAGAAATCCTAGAACAGCCTAATATAATTATATAAATGGATGTTTTAGGTAGGTATAAGTACACCCCAATCGAGGCAAGCGTAGGAAGGTTGGAAGAAACGCCACCTGCTGGCGAAAATGCAACTAGTTAATCATTCAACAAAATATTTGTTTGATATAATGTATTTATGAGTTCTGTTCAACAAAGTAATTTGTTTGAAATAACAACATATTTCTTGATAGTGA